AAGTATCGATGCTTGATTCTCTCGTCGCTTCGGTTCTTTGTGAGGCACAAAGGGAAAATTAGATTTCTCCGTTTGTTCGCGGTTCGCGGCGCGCGAGGAAACGCGACGCTTAATAAGGGGGTCAGTCTGGTGCAAACGCTCGCGGAATATACTTCGATCGGTTGATGGAGACGTGCGGAGGAAAGGAGGCCGTTGTTGCTCGGGGGCTATCAAACAATAGTGCTCACAATGTCGACGCAGCGCGCCGATTGTGCACCGTGGCCGTTATTTCTTTCCTTTTTTTTTTTTCTTTCTTCTAGATCACTCCTTTTGCCGTCTCGCCTCGACAATGGCGGGTCTAACGATTCGCGCTAGTTAACGGGGAAAAATATCAACGGATTCGACACGAATTTACTCGAAGGTTTCGCCGTTGACACACCGTCCTAGGAATCGGTTTCTTTTTTTTTTTAAATAGAGTCTCGTTTTATGCAACTGTAAGCGGATATCCTGCATAGTGGAAGAAAGGAGGCTCAGTCGAGTCGTAAGAGAGTTCTTTAAAAAAAAGAAAGAAAAAAACAGGAAAGGGAAAAAAGATACCTTTGACACTTGGTCAGAAATGTCCCCAAACCTTGAAGCTACTGAAAGAACCGAATCGCGTGTGTAACTTACACGCGTGTCGCAGTTTTGCTCATAAAGGGAGTGAAGGCTGAAAGGCAGAATGGATTAGTTTCATTCATGATGTGGACAAGAGCTCCCTTATTGTGCAAATTCTTTACACTGTAATCCGGAACAAAAGAGAGAGAGAGAGAGAGAGAGATATCGAAGTTTCGGATATATATATATATATATTTTTTTTTTGTTAGGTTAGATTAGATATTATTAGCCTATTTGTTTGCGAAAGCTGCATTATATTATCGGCAAAACGATAATCAATGTCTGTTATGCATAATGACGATGATAAGAATTGATAATCGCCTATTCCTTCAAAGAATTTTTCAAAGCTTCTTGAAAAAAATTCATCTTCCTTCTTACGAATAGTATCAACTTTTAATTATTACTTCAGTGTAAAATCAACATACAGCCGATGTTTTACCATTTTCATAATGTTTTCATGTGTTACATTTATGTATTTTAGTAACTTAATATGTTTTGTGTATCGTTTAAAAATGAAATATTAATTCTTTTGACATAATTGCTTAGTTAATTTAACATATTGTGTCTGTTTGTTACATCAACATTTTGCATCAAATCGATATTCAAAATGTATAATTGTTAGAAATAACTAATAACACATTTTATATTTCAGTGTTGGTTAACAAAGATATTAATTTTGCTAAATATTATTGGTTAAATTTTATACATAAAAATTTACAGACAAGTTGTGTTAATATCACCCGTAATAACAGTTAGAATCTTAAAACTTAGGCAATACGAAATGCATGTGTACCTAAGTAGCAGCGGTGTAGTACATAAAATAGGTGACTCAAGATCCCGAGTTCGAATCCCATCGGTGGACAAGAAGCACGTTTCTCAAATATGATATTAATTGAATTAACTAAATCGCACATAATATTAAGAAGAGAATAATATTAAGAATTTTAGCCACTAACGACATCTTAAAGAGCTGATAAATAAATTTTCTTTAGCATGAAAATAGCACATTTATTACATTTGACATCATAAATGTCAATTTACATCACACAACCTACATCACGTCAATTTAATTAATATCAAATATTACTATTACTAATAAAATTTAAATCAAAATAATTAATATCACGTGTTAGAAAAAAAGTTGTTAATGTTAATTCATTAACATTTTCAATTTGTAAACAAATAACACACGACGATTGAATTAATTCGACTTAAAATTTAGAAAGTTTAGATTCGATTAATTTAAATAAAAACCTGACTTTTTTAAATTTAATATTCTTGATTAAAATATACTAAACTTACTCAGAATGTTTTGAATGAATTTAATGCTTATGATGAAGTCGTGATACATTTGCAAATATATATATATATATATATATATGTATATATATATATATATATATATATATATATAATCTTATAAAATACTTGAAACATGTAGTATTTACTTACATATAGTATATATTTTTCTCCACGTACAGCCAACCTAATCTAAACTACACGTCAATCTGCCAGGACAGATTGATGTGCCCTGGCCACGATAAGTGATAAACCCATAAGAAGTAATCTAAAAATCTTTGACATCGAAATTCCGAAAAAGTCAATCTGTCTCGATCTCCCTTACATTTGCTCGCTAAAGAGAACCGACAAGTAACCAATATTCCCGACACTTCCGCGCGGCGAAAATAGCTTCATTTCCAGTGTAAAGAAGTTAACAGGAGGCGAGAAAATCTCGCGACTGGAGGCAGTACGACAGGAATAAAAGACAACTAACTGAAAGGGAAGGAAGAAGAAGTAGTAATGTATATGTGTGTGTAGAAGAAGAAGAAGAAGAACAATAATAAGAAATAGCAGTAGTAGAAGAAGAAGAAAACAGAGAGAGAGAAACGTGGACTCGGTAGGAAATAAGAAAGTGACGAATCGTTCAAACGGGCGTGCTCGCTGCTCGCGCATTGGTGCACTGTTGTGCGCGATGTGTGTACAGTCGCCATGTTGAATATCCCCACTTCCGTTCCACGTGTCGAGCACCTACACACGTGCTGGCACCGTCGTGGCCACACGCCGTCTTCGGTAGGGCGAGAAATCGAGCCTCACCGGCCCCGCCATGGGGGCTGGTTGTTCGCGGCGAGAGGGGCGCGGAGGGGCAAGCGGTGGGGGCAAACAGAGGGGCCAGGGGGGAAGGGTGGAGGAGGGAGGGCGGCAGGGGACGAGCGACTGAAAAATACGAGGATTTAAGGGGTTGGATGCAATTTCAGAAAGCCAACTCGCGCGAGCGAGCGCGCGCGCAGCGTCCTCTGATAGAAACGATCCCGATGATGCTTTGCATTGTGCGAACCGGATATTTATTAGGGCGCAAAGCGCACCTTTTCCCCTGCGGGCCTGAATTACGACCGTAACGTATTCTGTGAGAGAAAGGAGTATTATTCTTCGGGAAGCGTTTTGCTGTGAGGCTGATATAACACGAGTTTTAACAAAGCCGTGTGTCCCGCGACGATTGCGGTTTGTAGAGTTTTCGCTTCGGGAGAGGGGAGGGAGGTATTTTTTGTAAATTTGCGCGCGAGAATCTGGGGGATTCGCGCGGGCGGACGCCTCGGTCGTCGTCGATGCGCAGATTTGTCTCACGGTTTCCCCACGCGGCCGCCCAGGTAAGGCCGTGAGAGGTCGGGGAGACACAGCCTATTAAATAAATCGAACGTATGCGACGATTGAACGTATAATGATGCGAGTCGTCGATCTCGAAGCGCCTGCATTTGCGCGCGCCGTAAACGCCGCGTTCGATAATAATACTCGGACATGTGTAACGCGAAAAGTTAATCGATTGTTCCCGGCGAGATGATTGGCCCGGTGATTGAGTGCCTCCAATCTCACGGCGATACGGCGATTTACCGTGCGTCTCCGGGCCGTCGTATCCTTCGATACGTCGATTGATTTGTTCTCTAACCCCGATTAGACGTAGCGATTTAGCGCGGAATTTATCGTCGCTGATAGATTCGACTCCTTCCCTTCGTCTCACGGCGGAATATTTCTTCCTACGACGTAGCGAGGTGTCGGCTCACCCGATTCGAACGCAGTTTGCACGTGCTACACCGTACACGGAGGAGGGTGTCGTTCTACTTCTGTGAAAAGCGATCGCTCGGTTTAATTTTGTCGTCGTAGATACGTCAGCTTGCGATGTGCAAGGATCTTTGCATACCTGGTGGAAAAGAGGTGTGCTTCGCAAAAAATCGCAATATTTCTTCGGAATGAAGAAAAGTTTGGAAATTGTGTCCACCTGCTATGAAAGAAACTTTTAGACCTTTGGCCATTCGGACTTTTAGACCTCTCAGATGGTCCCAAAAATCGACTCGGAGCAGATTCGTTTAGTTATGTCTGTTCGCGTCTTAAAAAATATATCTAAAGTTGTGGCCTTGTTGATTAGTACTGACTCATAATGTAATAACTGTTCAAGTAAAGAACACTATTCACTGGTAAACGTAGCCTTGACGAAGACGATTTTCCGAACAATGCCTTGGCCGGTCATCATTTACCTTGCTTATTCAATAGTTCTTTCATGAAACACCACATATTTTCCGGTTCGACTGTGACCGTAACGAACAGATGAACATCAATCGATGCTTGTGAGATCTGTTGAATCGCTCAGTCAAGAATTTGCGTATTTTCGTCTTATCTCGAAACCATGTCAAATCGCGACGAGATTTCAGACATCAGGTGATTTTCCCGGGAAAGGGAAAACGACACATCTCCGCGTTTTTTTCGCTGTATTTTTTAAGAGCTTCGTACCTGGCCCGGAGCATCTTTGTTATTCCGAAGTTAAAGAGAAGCCCTCCTACACGAGCGAGCGGTCGTCCGCAAAGAGAGGTACGCGTCGTCTCTCCGCCGGGTTCCCCGTCGTCAGTGGAAGTGGTGACTGGGTGGAGTGAGGGAGGGGTCGGGGCGGGGAAACACGGGTGGGAGCGACGAGGGGGCCAGACGTATTAATTAAACGACTCATTTTCATCGCACGACAAAAACGTGAGTTTAACGCCCATCGTCGGGCTAATGCGTCGCCCCATTGCAACTCCTACGTACCTTGAGGAACCGCGGTAGTCGCGGCCGATGTTCCGCTCCCGGGTGCTGATCGCGACCGCGGCTCAGCGGCCAATCGGACGCGAGCCCGTGCACGCCTAGGCCGCACAGTCGGCGACGAGGAACGCCCATCCTGGTCGATTTCGACGATCCCCCCTCCTCCTCCTGCCGCTGCGCGCTCGACCCTGGTGTGGGGGGTAGGGTTGCGCGCTCACGCGCTGGCTCCCCCACCATGCTCCGGTGAGCGCTTCGTTTAGTCTGTAATTTGCTCAAACACTAGCAAGCTCTCGCGCCAGAAACATCCGTCAGAGCTTGTGCTCGCTCGGTGCTCGCTCTCGCCCGTGAGAGCTGAATCCTACGGAAACGCGCGCGCGACGTGTCCGCTCCATTTGACGACCGCTGAATCACGAATTACGGAAAAGCCTGCCGCTTTCTCTCTCTCGCTCTTTCTCTCTTTCTCTCGCTCGCTTTCTCCTTTTCTCTCACTCCGTGTGTGTCTCTCCCCCTGTCATTCGCTTCTCCGCGCGTCCAGGTCGATAGCGCGCGCGCGACCAGGTCGATGGAGTGTCGGGCGTGACCTACGAGTGAGTGTCGTGAGCCTCGGGGCTAGTGCGTAGGCGTTCGGTGACATCAGTCAGTTGGTGAGAAGCAACGGGACGGACGCTCGCTTGTTTTCGGCGACGGTGATTTCCGTCGAAACACGACGGCGGATAGCGGTTCCAGTGATGCGTGAACACGGTGCCGAGGCTCGGGATCGGCCGTGGTGAGTGAGAGCATCGCCGAGAGCATCAGTGACGACTGATCAGACCATCTTGTTGGGTGACGGAACGTTGATGGCACGACGAAAGTGAGGTACCTTCGAGTTTCGGAGAAGAATACCTCTGGACGGTTGAGAAAGAAAGAGAGAGAACGACAGCTAAGGACTCCGTCGGAATAGTGAGTGGTTAGGAAGTGTAAGTGGTGAATCAGAAGAGTGGCGAATTGGGAGCTTAGCCGGAAGCAGGCCGTCGCGGGCACCCCCGCAGACTCGAGCCCGAAGATGCGGCGGTCCTAATTCCGACGGGGGGGTCAGTCCCGCCAGTTGGTCCCGGCCAAGTGGGCTCTCCAACCGGGAAGCGTACGATAATCGTACGATGATGCCGCTCGCGCCGACGCCAATCGTCCCGGTGCCGTCCAAGCCGAAGATCGGCTTCAGCATCGACTCGATAGTCGGCGGGCAGGGCCGCGAGGACCGCCTGGACCGGCTGGTCGAGATCGAGCGCGACGATGGCAGCCCGATGGAGGTAGTCGAGGACTCGTCGTCGCCGCGGGCGCGCCGGGTCGCCGTGCGATCGCCCGGCGCTCACTCCGAGGGTTCCGACCGGCCGATCTCCCGGAGCTCCTCCGTCGAGTCCTACCCGAACTCGCGGCGGACGCCGTCGCACGCCGGAGGTGGCGCCGGCGGCCACCATCACCACGGCAATCACCACGGCCACCACCATCCGCATCACCATCATCACCTGTCGACGGCGGCGCACCTGGATTTCGGCCGCACCACCGTGCACAGCCACAGCGGCGGCTCGACACCCAACAACAGCCCCAGCCCGCCGCACAGGATATCGCACGGCGACTCGCCGATCGGCACGCACCCCCAGCCACCCCCCGGAGTGGTGAGACCCAGCCCGAACTACCTCGCGCCACCGCCCAACGCGGCGGCGGTCGCGGCCGAGCAGCTCAAGTCCCTCTACGGGCTACCCAGCCACAGTCCGGCCGGGCCACAGACCGGACAGAATGAGTATCACACGCAGCAGCAACTGGCCCTGGCTGCGAATCTCGCCGCGGCCCAGGCCAATTTCCAAGCGGCGAATCTCGCGGTCGCGCTCCAGGCGCATCACGGCGCCGCGCCCCACGGACCCCCTCACGGCCCTTACCCGCACGGTGGCACCCCGGCGGGGCCCCATCCGCCGCCGCATCCTCATCAGACGCCCAGAGACAGTTACCCCCTGTACCCCTGGTTGCTCTCCAGGCACGGAAGGATCTTCCCGCACAGATTCGGAGGTAGGATTTACCTGCGGTCTTCGATGCGGCTTGCCGTTGTTGTATCGTCGCTACAATGGCTTCCCGTTAAACGTTTAGGACCGACTCCGATGGTCGGATCCTTTGTTGTTTAAAACAAGACGCCGTTTTCACACAATGGCTCCTCGTTAAGCGAGGTTGATACGGCTCGTCGTTGGCAAACTGTGTGTTCAGTCGCGTCGATTGTCTTCTTTATTGTAAGGAGGAAATGTTTGCATGCAAATTGCCGCAGGGTTTTCTAATGTAACCGGAATTGTGACGAAAATTATGGGTGTATAGTAATGGACTTTGTTGTACACTTTATTGGAGATTACAACACGCGTCATAATGCTCAGCTGTAATTCCGATTTGGTTCAACATCACACAATTTTGCGGTGATTTTCACCGTAATATTTTTTCCGTGTATGTTAAGATCAGGAGAGTCGACGAGATGTTGTGACTTTCCTGGAATAATGATTACACGAATCTCGTTAATTTAGTAGCCCGGTCACTTTCTGTTAACGCGGACACAATGAATTACACGGTGCGGAGCAATGAACGATCGTGTTGTGCATTGCGCGCGTTCAAGCGGCAAAACTGTGCGCGCAGCTCCCTTTAGAGTCCTACGTCCAGCTCAGCTGTAGAGGGAAGGGTCAGACCTAAGGGCTGTCCGTCCGATCGCACGGATTTTCATTGAACACTCGGGGTTCGAGTACTCGCGTTCGGCGGTAACACGTAGGATATGCGGAGACAATTGTACCTCTCTCGCCGCGTGAGCACTTGAAAAATCACATTATATGAATTACCTAGGATTTACCTGTGTGTTTTCACCTGAAACGTGGAATTTATATTTATCGTGGGATTGTTGTTTGTATCAAAATAATTTGATATGATATCGACGGAGCAGACTTCAAGAATGAATATTGTAAGGGTCGCAGATTTAGAGTCGGAAGAATCGAAGTAGAGGTGAAATGAAAATTGTCGCGAAAGAGCAAACAGTAGACACAATAAGATATAACGTTCGTGGAAGCGTGTTCTACATGCTGCAGCATGTTTGTAGAAACTGTCGCAGCGTGCGATTCACTGAGTGAACTTGGGTGCGTGATCTCCCGGAGTACCTGCTTGGGTCACAAAAGCGTCAGCACAATAGGCGTTCGCACATCTCGGCTCACAGATTTTCAGGGTAGTCACTGATCATTAACCGATGCCTTTCATTCGCTCGTGCGACCGAAGTTTATGATATATTCAGTTAATCCCTTAATCCTCCGTAATCTTATTTTCCCGCTCTTACAAAAATCGCACAACAGAGAAATGTCAAACTTTCATTGTGAATTATGAAGGAGTACTCAAATTTTAATTTACAGACGTTTCGTATTTATTAGATATTTATAGATAATTGCCATTAACGGATTATAGTGAGAATATTATTGTCTTGAAATCATGATGATACACGGCGATAAACGAACCAAATCAAATTTTAAAAATATAGATACGTGGACATGTACACGGAGAAAAATATCTTTCTTCTGCTAAGAAAAGTTAAATTCAGTTAATTTGAATAAACATAAACTGAAGTTTGTTTTAATTGAATCTTTTTGTTATCAGTGTTATCAAAGTTGTTTTAATAACACACAAAAGAATAAGACGGATAAGTGCAAATTGCTGTTGTTCGTACGTGATAAATTAAAAATTTAATATAAATAGTATATATATATAATATTCAAATGTTTCGGTTTGGACTCTTTTCAGTGAAAAAGACGCGAAAATGTAAGAATGTAAATAACTAAAGAAACACCGCTATACGCACACAAAAAAGTTACAGAAAACGGAAGTGATGATGCAATCTGTCAAGCCTGTGTCCCCAAATCATTATTAGGTGACAGTGCGGAATGTCGAATTTCTCAGGTCCGGCGAGCCAAACGGACCAATTGTTGCCAAGCGTCAAATTGATAAGGAAAAGTGCAAAATGTTAAAGTAACTAAAAAATATTATTAATAATACTATTAATTTATCACGAACTAACAACAGAGGTTTCTTCTTATTTATCTTATTCCTTTGTCCAATATTTTTGATTGAGATATTAAATTTGCTGGGATCCAGAATATATTTGATACTTCTGTGTTTCCTACTAATAGTACGAATAGATAAATAAATTGAATAAGTCTTATGTTTATGATGAACTTGAAACAAATAACATTTACCCGAATGCGGTATGTATTTTTCCGTGTGTAATCTCAAAATCTGAAAACTACACGATGTAACAAAGAGTAATGGACCCTTACGGTCACCGACCTTACAAATCTAACGATTTACGTAGCGTTCCTCGTTTCAAGACGGTCGCTGCCATATTTCCATTGGTTTTTGTACCGATATTTAATCCCCACAATCGCAGCTCGCGCGTCTCCGTCTCCTCGATGTGTCAAAGGACGCGGGCTCTTTTTTTTCGAATGCGTTATCGGAATTTACGACTTCGGTACTATCGTCGCGTCCAAGTCGTCGTCGTGATTCAGCCGATTGATTGACGCGATCAGGGAAGCGCGATTGCGTAGTCGATTTATGATAATAATATTTCTTACCATTTGGCGCACGCGCTCGTTGCCCGTCGCGTTGCGTTACGCAAGTCTTTCGTAATTAGCATTTTGTAACGTTGTTGTCCTAGAGCGGCAGTTTCTTATCGTACGGCCAAGTCATGCCGGGCAAAAGTTTTTCCCGCGCGTCGTAATTAATTTATTTATCCGTTGCGTTGATATTCGCCTCAGTCCAATTACGCTGCTTATCAACGTTCATACTATTAATGGGAAATACAGAAGAAATATCATCACTCCCGGGAGCATTCCTCTCTCTCTCTCTCTCTCTCCCTCTCTCTCTTTTTCACTCGCTCGCTCGCTCTTCTCGCAGGCGTTTCGATCGACTCCCCACGGTTCGATCGTCGATTTAGCGTGAGGCCGAAGCACGCGTGCACAACTTTATATGATGGATGACGTCTTTTATCAGTTACGTTGAGATAACGATTTCTGTCGTTCGAGATGTACTATTGAACAATCTGAAATATATCCTGGAGACGCGTTAAGCGTTTATAACGCAAACGACGACAACGAGGAGGAGGCCGACGTAAGAGCTAGGAGATTAATTTAGGTTGCGCAGAGAGTTCGACGGGAGATCATCCGTAATCGACGTCTAATCTTCTTCTTCTCTATTCCGTAAACACGTCTCATCCATCGATTAGAGGTATTATAAGGTATTTGTCGATGACGGATAACTCAGTCGGCGATTATGAGAGAGAGCGCAAGATTAATCTAACGAAATTGTTACGTACAACCGCCATGCGGATGTCTCGCCATGCGGAAAAGCAAGGGCTGTATTCGTTACTGAGAGAAAAAATATTTGATATTTGTAACTATAAGCCATAATTATAAACCGTAATTACGAATAGTAAAGAATTACAGTTCAATATCGTAACTATAAACTATAGTAAAAGAATTATAATCGGGAGAATAGTCTTTCTAATAAGTATTACTGCAGTGTCAGTGATAGTAGCACTTTACATGCATACTGTTACCACTATTTTTATGGTTAAAACTAAAAAAAGCGCATAGTTATGGCCAAAATAACTTTAATTTCTCTCGGAGATAGTCGAATCTTATATTTAACCCTAGTTCGGCATTCATGAGTTTTAAATTGATCTAAAAGAAAAAACTAAAATCCCTATTTGTTAAATTTTCAATTCTTGCACATACATATAATTGTTTTATGAATTATTTGAATTATTTTCTCTAAAAAAGCGCGTGTAAAATTGTGTACTTATTTCTATATAGAATCAACTCTGTCGAAAATTTCCAGGTAGATTTTCACAGAAATCCATAGGAACTCATGAGAATCCAGGATAATAAAAATCTACATAATTTGTGGATATAGAAAGTAATATAGGAATCTACATAATTTGTGAAAATTTATATGGGGATCCACGTGGATTCTTAGGATCTGAGTTTTTGACGTAAATTTCCAGGGGCAATCATGGCGGCGCGTTCCATATGTATTTCCTATATGGATTTCCGTTCGTCTTTTTTCAACAGAGAATATATTACCTTATTTACGTAATATATCTTAAATTATTTATTTAAAAAATGGTGTGTGCGACAAACCCTTCAAACTTATTTTTCTTTGTACACATAAAACTGTAATATTCGTACACTTGATAGATAGTTAAATAAGAACATGTCAAGAAAGTCACTGAAAAATTGTCCCCACAGAAATTGGTGTGTGCCAACTAAGCAGCAAAAAATAAATGCGCCTTCCAAGAGTTAAGATCGTCTTAGGTCCATCTTAAATTGTGCGGACCGTTTCATTGGCCACGCGGTGCATCCGAAGATGAGATTAAGGCAATCTATAGCCGACGGTGCTGGTTTTCGTATTGGATCGCTTGCTGGATGGAAACACTGCGTTCTGATTGGTGCATTTCCGGAAACGGAGTGGAGATACACCAATCGAAACGCAGTATTTTCATTCAGCAAGCGGATCCAGCACGAAGAAAAGCAAACACGTTCCGCCAGGTTTAAATACAAGATCTCTGAATGCCCGTGTCACACTGCGAACATGGTTTGGATTCGGATTGCGAATCGTTGGTCAGCCAAGCAGATTGAAACAATCGAAGATCCATTGGCCGTTCAACGATTCGCAGAAATCCGAATCCAACCTCAATGTGCGTAGCGTGACACGGGCTTAAGAATCGGTAGCGGATCGAGGATTGTCAACTGATGCGCAGAGGAGTCGGTTTGACTGCTCTTTAGAATGGAGTCGCTTCGTGAATCACTCGATTTATTTACCTTCACTCTTCGCCGTAGACTCGACTACTTGTGCAGTGAGATCGCAAATTCATGTGCCGCTGCCCTGATTAGCCTCGATCGTCGCGTACGGCCCGCGTTCAGGTTCGTCGAACCTCTTCCGTGGAATTTCGAACACCGCCGGCAGCGGGATCGTCCGTCTCGCAGACTTTCTGCAAACCT